CCCCCCCCCCCCCCTAGAAAGTTTTCTGCGGGCGCCCATGGCTGTCAGTGATTAAATATGACTATTTTACTACTGAATACTGCTATTATGAAATGAGAAATGAAGATGAAAATTAATATGTTGAAATCTAGCAGTGATTCAACTTTAACCCAGGGCCAGGGGTCGGCAACCTTTACGAAATTCTTATGTCGTGCCAAAGTAATTGTTTCTCGAAATTCATTCAGCGCACCAGTAACCCAGATAGTATACTACCTGATCTATATATATATATTTTTTTTTAAAACATTAGAACACCGATTATCCGAAGTATTTGGGATGGGGTCGTATAACCGAAAACTCACAGGCAAAGTTTGTGTTAAATAAGTAAATAAGTGTAGTGTGTAAAATACAATACATTATTTGGACCTAAGAGTCATCCTTAGTTTTCAGTCCTTTCAAAGTTGAATTATAATCTTCGCGGTCAAGTCACGAATCCTTTTCAGAATCACAAGTACCATTGAACAACTCCCACTTTGTCATTCAATTCAATTCTCACTATTCACTACATCATAATACCAGACAGTTTTGAATAGCCTTCACTGCGCTTGATAAATAATTTTTTTTTAAATTTTTTTTAATAAGTTCAATACGAATGTCCAGCGTTTGTGGACACTAAATTTCACGTATATCCATCCACCCATCTATGCGGCGCGACATCCTTAGTAGGGTTTTGGTCTGCCTCACCACTTCCTTCAAACCAGAACACCCATCCATCCCTGTGACGCTACAGCCCATGTAGGGCACTACTTCCTTCCACTCAGATCTAGCTAATGCTTTTCTTTTCCATGATTGGATTCCCAGCTGCTGTAGCTCCATCTCCACAGCATCCACCCACCTAAGCCTAGGTCTGACTTTGAGCCGTTTTCCTCTGGGATTTTGGTGATGCATCCTCTCCATACCCCTGTCATTTGGCATTCTTTCTAAGTTTCCAGCCCAGCGTAGTCTGCCCCTTTTTATTTGTGCTGCTACTGGTTGGTTCGCATTCTCCCTCCATATTCATCCTTTGTCGGTCCATGTATTTCCCCATGTGCTTAATTGATTTTCTGTGTTTTTTGTTTTGTTTTTTTTTTTGTAAGGGTCCACGTTTCACTTGCGTAACTGGTCTGAATACAGATATAGTTTTTTATTTGTTTTTCTTGTAATGATTTTACTTTGAGTATTTTCTGACAACTGAAGTATGCCCTAGTTGTGGACAAATATTATTTATTTTATTTCTGTTAATAATTAATTTCTTCAATTTGATAAATATCGAGGTATTTGAATTGATTTAATTTTTCAAAAGCGTGGTTTCTAATTTTAATGGTTTGATAAATCTGTTCTTTTCTTAAAATCGTCATGTATTGGTTTATTTGTTTAATCTTTGGTTGTTTACATCCAATCGTGGCTGTAGTGATGCGTCCTCTAATTGAGCGTTCCCCAAACGGTGGTCCGTGGACCGGCACCGGTCCGCAAGCTTTACGTTACCGGTCCAGAGAGCATGAATATTGATTTCTAAATAGAAAGAAAATGTAATTAATAAATCTGGCACCGGTCCCTGATGCAGTTTCGAAACTGGTCCACCGGTCCGTGAAACTTAAAAGTTTGGGAAACGCTGTTCTAATTCAATAAAAGCTTTTGATGTGTCTACTACTTTTCCCTAACAGTGCTATGTCATCAGCATATACAAGATACTGAAGGGGCTGGTTGTAGAGAGTTCCTTTTTTTTGTTGTGTGTCTTGGGTCTCCCTCAGAAAGTATCCTGCTATTGTTCCTCGGGTGTCAATAAGTATGTTTGTTATAGCTCTCTAATGTTTGGTAAATAGCATACAATACAGTGAGTCTCCTTGTCTTAGGCATCGTCTAATCTGAAATCCCTTGAAAATTCACCCCAAACCCTGATTAGCTTTTTTAGTTGTTTAATTTATAAGTATCAGTCTCGTCAGTTTGTTGGGTATGACAAACTCCTACTGAGTCTCTGACAGATATTCTCTTTTTTGATGCTGTCATATATGACCATATATAGGCCATTTTATACTATTTATAGTCCACATAGAGTTGATGTAATGGGATACTATTTTAATAGCATGCCGTGATGCCTCATCATAGATTTTTCTCAGCGTCTCATAAAAGGGATTCTTTTATCTGACCGTCTGTATCTTCGGTGGGGGCATGAAAGTTTATAAATTATAAATCTTCATTAAATATTTTACTGGCACACGCACAGGGCGCACTACTTGATCCTTTGGGTTCAACACCCGACTGCACGGGCGGCTACTTTCTCAACAGCAAATCCTGTTCAAAGAGTGTTAGAGCTGTTGCTACTATAAAATATGGCCGATTCTTTTGTCTTGAAGGTGTCTGCATAATTTGCCCTTCGAATGCAATGCAGCAAGAGAGATTTTATTTTCAATTAGCTGATCCATTAGGTTGGCTAAAGCTCTATGCAGGCTAATTACAGTCCAAAAATCATTTCCATATCCAGGCATAGGTCCACATCGAGGCATAGGTCCATACCGAGGCATTGGTCCATATCCAGGCAAAGGTCCATATCCAGGCATAGGTCCATATCCAGGCATAGGTCCATACCCAGGCATTGGTCCATATCCAGGCATAGGTCCATATCCAGGCATAGGTCCATATCCAGACATAGGTCCATATCCAGGCATAGGTCCATATCCAGACATAGGTCCATATCCAGGCATAGGCCCATATCCAGGCAAAGGCCCATATCCAGACATAGGTCCAT